ACTCGAAAGATGAGGAGAGCGAGGTGTAGGGAAAGCAATCGTCACGCTCACACGAGTTGCTACGTGTTCACAGTACGGGGGCGGTAAGGCCATCGGAGCGGGGGCTCCCCCTGCGGCCGGCGCGCCGCGCCGACATCCCGACTTTGCCAAGGGCGAGCCCGCGTACGGCGGCGCGGGAGCAGCGCCCGGGCCCGCGCCTGGCGCCGCCGGGGCCGGCCCGGGCGCCGCGCCCGGCGCTCGCTTCGGGGCGGCCTGGGGCGCGTCCTTCCCTCGCGCCCCCGCGCCGCCCGCTCCTGCCGCGCCCTGGCGGCCCCAGCCTGGGGCGCCACAACCACCTAACTGGACGCACCCGCCCTACTCCAATACGGTAAGAATTTTCAACCATTGTTTCATATACGTTATTTTGTAGAAAATTATTGTTACAATTAAGTTTTGTTGTAACAGTAAAACATTTTCTTTGTACAGAAACATTATTGATGTATCTATCTGTTTTAATTTCAGCAAAGTGGAGGTCCTGTGTGGGGAGGTGCCCCAAGGCCTCCAGCACAAGACCCTTACAATTCGACTGCGCCATCACCAGTAAGTTGCAACATTATTTGTCTATGTATTGAAAAGCCTGTTTTAGATTTAATTTCTTGATTCTCAAAATTAATTGTTTTCCAGGGCTCTGCACCTGTACTGACTGCTCCGGGTCAATTAAAACGGGAGCTAACATTCCCTGCCGAGTGTGTGGAGGCGGCTGTGCCGACTGGAGAAAAACGAAGAAGACTTACTAAGGCTGACGTAGCGCCCGTCGACGCGTGGCGTATCATGATGGCGCTCAAATCGGGCTTGCTGGCAGAGACCTGCTGGGCGCTCGATATCCTCAACATACTTTTGTTCGACGATAACTGCATAGGATACTTTGGCCTACAACATATGCCTGGCTTACTCGACTTATTACTTGAGCACTTCCACAAGAGTCTAAGTGACGTGTTCGATGCGCCGTCAAATGACGAGGGACCCTGGTATGCGCCACCTCCCAGCCCTGAACCTGTTGTTAAGAGCGCGAAAACTAAAAGAGAACCGAGAGAACCTCCCGATCCTGCCGACCGAGTGCGCGTACTCAATGGAGAGAACTACACGATGGAGTCGCGGCGGCGGCATCCCGTAGTGTACAAACAGGACGACGAGCTGTTCGCGCCTGACGACGAGGACGAGCGCGAGCCGCTCGAGGACGACGTGCTGGAACCCTGGCAGTTCGGGGGAGACTGCGCTGGCGCCGCCCATGTACTGCCCGTCTTCCGCTCCGAATTTCTGCATCTCCCCTTCGTGCGCGTCATGCCCGGCCAGCGCGCCGTCTCCCCGCCTGCACCGGAGCCACGCGTGCCGCCCTCGCCTCTCGCAGACCCGGCGCCCGAACCCGAACCTGCGCCGTCGGCCTCTACCGAGCCCTCGGGTGACAATTTAGCGCCCGAACCCATGGAATTGGAGCCCGCGGGCCGCCTGGCAATCCGAGACCCGGCTGGCGTCCTGCGGCGCCGGCGCCTGGCCGACTACGAGGACGAGTGCTACACGCGCGACGAGCCCAGCCTCAACCTGGTGGACGACACGCGCGACGCGCTGGCGCGCCGCTGCATCGCCCTGTCCAACATCCTGCGCGGCCTGACGTTCGTGCCCGGCAACGAGGCGGAGTTCAGCCGCTCGGGCGCCTTCCTGGCGCTGGCCGGCAAGCTGCTCCTGCTGCACCACGAGCACGCGCCGCGCGCCGCCCGCGCCCGCGCCTACGAGCGCGCCGCGCGCGACGACAGCGACGCGCGCGCCTGCTGCTCCTCGCTGCGCGGCGGCGCCGAGTGGTGGTGGGACGCGCTGGCGCAGCTGCGCGAGGACGCGCTCGTCTGCTGCGCCAACATCGCGGGCGGCGTCGAGCTGGCCGGCCAGCCCGAGGCCGTGGCGCGCCCCTTGCTGGACGGCCTGCTGCACTGGGCCGTGTGCCCCGCCGCCGTGGCCGGCGACGCGCCGCCCGCCGCCGGCGCCAGCTCGCCGCTGTCGCCGCGCCGCCTGGCGCTGGAGGCGCTGTGCAAGCTGTGCGTCACGGACGCCAACGTGGACCTGGTGCTGGCCACGCCGCCGCGCGGCCGCCTGGCGGCGCTGTGCGCGGGGCTGGCGCGCGACCTGTGCCGGCCCGAGCGGCCCGTGGTGCGCGAGTTCGCCGTCAACCTGCTGCACTACCTGGCGGGCGCGGGCGGCGCGGCGGCGCGCGAGGTGGCGCTGCACGCGCCGGCCGTGGCGCAGCTGGTGGCGTTCATCGAGCGCGCCGAGCAGACGGCGCTGGGCGTGGCCAACCAGCACGGCGTGGCGGCGCTGCGCGACAACCCGGACGCCATGGGCACGTCGCTGGACATGCTGCGGCGCGCGGCGGCCACGCTGCTGCGCCTGGCGGAGCACCCGGAGAACCGGCCGCTGATCCGGCGCCACGAGCGCCGCCTGCTGTCGCTGGTCATGAGCCAGATCCTGGACCAGAAGGTGGCGCACGAGCTGGCCGACGTGCTGTTCCACTGCAGCCAGGCGCGCGCGGACGCGGAGCCCGAGTAGTGCGCCAGTGCGACTAGTGACGCTGACAGTGACGCGCTACCCGCGGGTACGTGTGAGTGACGAGTGACGAGTGACGTGTACATATAGTGATACGGACGGACGACGGACGCGGTGCGTACTGTGACTGTCTCGCGACTCCGACCTCATTTATAGCGGTGTCTCAACGTGTTAGGCTGTACGATCCGATTTTGTTATTTATGTCCATGATGATTTATTTACAACAAGAATGTCAATGTGCTCTAATCGATTTCTATTGTTCGATTGTGAAAAGATGTATTATAACACGTAATTTTGATTTTTATAATAAAATGGGACTTGAATCTGTTTATTGGTTTTATGATGGAGATTTATACCGAGTACCTTTAGCGCCTTTGTCTATAAGAGAAAACGTAGTGGAGAGTGTGAGGAGCTTATGTGGGTTATAAGTTTAATTAAGTTTAATGTGAATTACAATAATCTATAATATATTGAAATTGAATCTGAATTTTATTTTTTTTTTCATGAATTGGCATTTTATAATTTGTCCACCTCAATTACCAAATTAAATTAATGGAAAAAAGTAAATGTGAGCCGGCAAATTTAATTCAAATATGAGAAATTAGAGATAATGTAAGTTAGAGCCAAATTTACTTAACCCTTCATTGTTGCTTTATGAAACTTCAGTTATAGTCCAGTCCATTAGAAATTTGTCTAAATTTCCTTTAATTCAAAACCTTTGACCATTTAACATCAACATCAGGAATACACAGAATCTTAACACCCTTAACATGCTGACATAAGTATCATCTAAATGAGAAATGAATCGATTTCCATAACTAACATATTGATCAAGACTATCATGAAATGAAATGAAATACAAATAAAATGTAACACTAATCAACAAATTATTCTTGTATATACTATAAGAGGTGCGCTCAAAAACTATCCCCAGTTACGAGTTCAACGAATTCTTCTACAAAAGGTCCTACTCCTTTTTATTAGCCACACTAAATATAGCACTATTTTATTACTAATATAACATTTTAACAAAGACTAGGTAAATCGGCGTGTAGTGGGCAGTTTAGGTCCGATTTTTCAATAGTCAGATAAATGTTATATAGGGAATAAAATTGTTGTTATCACGGTCTTATCCAAACATTTTGACGCGACAGCATCATAACTATTCCCCATATAACTTTTATCTAGCCATTGAAAAATCAGCCCTTAGGTAGCACTTCAGTTAGTTACTACTGCTTTGCCTCAGCATATGTTGTCATTGTGGCAGAACGGCACAGAGGGGTGACGAGCTGTGCCTAGATTCATTATCACATGGTTTAAAATTCAGATCTCTTTTCCACCCCACTTGAAAGGAATAAGCAATGGTGGACAGGTGCAAATTGTTTAAAAAATTTCGGCATAACTTAATTGACATTGCGAAGCGGGGCGGCTAACTCACGCGTATTATTTTTTCAATCCTTCCTCCTCTAGTACTAGTTACCCCATAAAATTTTAGCCGGGCGCAATTGGGCACTACGGCCTCGGCCCAAAGCGAGAGAAGGTCCGGGGTTTTTAGGCAGTAAGAGTGCGATAATCCCTCTGATTTTGCCCTAAAAAAAAACCATTCAAGTTAATACACCTACCTCCTTTGTAGCGTCTGTCTTAGGCTGTGGGAGCGGTACGGAATGGGGCTGAAAAAGTAATCAGTAAAAAGATCAGGTGCTTCCACTGAAGTGAAACGGGTTGGAATGGCGCATGGCGCGGAACTGGGTAGAACGAAGCTGCTTTGCCTAAGTATTTGTATCGTCTGGTGCCTGAATACCCAGCTTTCTCTCACTCATACAATTTTGTATCGTAGTGCGACATGAAGATTATCAACACGTTTTATAAATCTTTCACCCTTTTTTTACAGTTATCTCGGACATCGTTGATGACGTTAAGTCGCTTACCCAGTCATTGTGTAATCTATAAGTGAGCAAGTCAGCCTCCCCGCGCTTTATTGCCCCGCCCCATTCCAAGCCACACCGCGCTGCTACTCTCTCAGCCTTTCTAGACCACGCTTGTTTTTCAGAATTTTAAACAATAATTACGTTTTCATTAATGCTTGTTCCTTTGAAGCGGTTCGGAGAACAAATGTGGAATTCAAACGATGTTGGTGAATCGTAGCAGATTCTTGTTTGGTCCGATTCTTTTTTGGTTTATGGTCATGTCACATCCGAATAAGTATAGCTATCGCTCTAGCTCTGGCAGCCGATAATCTGACTTGGACTTTTACGTAATTCTTATTTCAACTTTACATACACAATTGACATCCCTCACTTTTGACCGTGTATATTTGGATAACAATTTTTAAAATTCCTTTTTCTTTCTAACGTAAAATATTCTGAAACACCATTATAACAGTGATGAGAGTAATAGAGGTAAATTAGTTTAGGATTAATTGTTCTCCAATGTCGGGGGATCCATTCGACTACATAAGATGGAGTGTAAGTCGAGCGATAGTAAAAAATTGCTCAAAGTATGTGACGCGGCGAAGCACAAGAGGACTAAGAAAAAACGGGATGGGCTCGACGATACTAACTCTGTTGTGACGGACGGCTCTACTAGCGTGAGTCTATCTATACTGTTTCTTATTTATAATGGTGTATTTATAGCGTCAGAAGTCAACTCAAATATTTGACGAGGACGTTCAACTTATTTTGCAAAAACAATGTTTAAAAACTTTATCACACAAACATGATGGGTCGATTGAAATAAACATCTCAAACAAGCTATTTAGACTCCAATATCCAGTGGAAAATCTTAACTCATGAATTACAAGGAATTATTGAATTTATTATAACATTATAACTCACTATTATTTGGTACCTAATTAGTAGACAATTATTTAATTCGCAACTGGATTTGACAGGGTTGTCCTCCTAACGTCGATCGAGCACCACCAAAGAAAGCTAGTTTACAAGAAATATTCGCTGTGCGAAATACACCTGCGCAGCATGATGCCAATAACACAAAGGGGTTTGTGCGATTTTAGTTATAAATACAGGTATACTGTGGAGGTAAAATATAACTACTGATTTGGTATTTAAACCTTTATGCAGATATATGTTTGGAATAAGTCAAGAAATTCTTACCAAAAAAAACTGCATTGCTGCATAGCTATCAAAGAAATCATCGACTGTTTGTTCTTTATTTATTTCATTTAGAGATGTAGATCTCTCTTGGACTTTTTCCACTTACTTTATGGGATTCGGCCTGAGTCTTAAAGATATTCAGCCGCCTGATAGTACTTTACATAGATCTCCCCGTCTTATAGGTGTTATAGGTACTCATAGTGGTATTAGATTTGAACTTTCTGGGTAACTGTAATGTCTGGTATTCGTATGTCAACCAAGACCGACGGTTTATCGTGTTTTTAATAAGTACATAATTATGTGCTCATGATTATAGGGACAGACAGAGAGACAGCAGTCCTTCAATATCGAGGTCACCAGTCGAGGAACAGCATTGTGACTCCAGGTCGCAACGGCGCCACCATCGCCGGTCGACGTACGTTAATAGATTATTTATATTTAAGCGCATATAATTCTTATGCCTACTTACTGCCTGAAAGAGCTTGCACAACTGGGAGAAGCCCAATCACCAAATACCACAGCAAAGCCAAAATGGCTTTGGTGGTATGCAAATACCTGAAGATCAAACAACAAAAATCAACAACTGCTTAAAACACATGCTTAAAAATTCTTAAAAACTTAGCTATCCAACAGTGAATAGGTTTTCGCAGATAGAATGCTAGGTGATACTAAGTAGGCAGTGACACTTCAAATTTATTCTTCAATCTAGAATGTAAATAAAATAAAAAAATAACACAAAAATTTCATTGTCATTTATTGTAACGTTAATATATTTCAGAAGAGAAGGAGTTTCCTTGGCTTTGAAAGCGGGTATGGTTTCAACCCCACGTTCTATCTCACCGCCACAGGTAAACATAAACAAGTCTTATTCCCCAAAAGGTTAGGTATACATGAAAGAAGCACTCATTATTCGGTAGTCAAGACTTATTCTTTGAAATAAGCCTTCAAGCATGTAGACCAGTTATCTGATAGTGAGCAATCGGCGCAGCCCATGGACAACCACAACACCAATGCAGTCATGGGCGTTGCCGCCATGTTTCCGCTGCTGAGAAAATGTTGTGCTTACATGGAAAAGGAATATGCGTTAACCATCACCGCAAGCTACAGGCTATTTCAAACTTACGACTAGAAATTATTGTATTTATTTGTATTTATCATCGGGACGAAATTCAGGCAGACTGCGCGACAATTTACGAAAACTCTAAGAATTGACAATAATATAATAAAAGACCCGAAAAATGTTTTTACAGTTACCTACTAGTATGAGAAGATGCATTGGTTGGCATTGTTTAGCGAAGGGCACTTTTAGGCTACAGATGATGAAAATCGATGCCAGCAACCCTTACAAATTATTCGAGTTTATTACGACCGCTTGATAAAAAGCGTTCATTCGCTGTGATAATAACTATAACGACACAAGTATAAAAATATTTTTATTGATTTAGGAAGGCGATGGAGTTGGGGAATCTATACCTCAAGATCAAGATTCCTTTATATACGCTTTTCTAGAAGAAGCTATCAAAAGAGATAAAAAAAAGTAAGAATATTTATTGACTACCGCAAGGATTAGTTTACAGTTAAATTATTTAGGTAGGTTCAGAATAGTTAGATATCAAGTGTTATCGATTTCGGGGATATTCTGAAAGCATATCACACTTTTTGATAAGTTTTTTCATCTTCATACTCACGTATGATAGGAAATCGGTGAGGTGGAGAATCCCTTATGGGGATTTTACATTGAGATTACGAAAGAAGAATTACCGCCTTTTCTGGTTTAAATGGTTTTGAAAATAATGTGTATTCAAGGTTAAAAGCAGCGGTAAAAATAAATCAGTATCTGAAATTTAAATGTGACCACTCACCAATTTTACACGTTGTATACTATTTTTGTGACAAAAAGCTTGATCTGTTGCATATATATATTTCCAGGCAGAAACACGCCAATCGTCGGGAGCACGAGAGACAAGCCAGTAACGAAGACGTTCGGGAACGTTCAGCACCGCGTGATAAAGAGAAACATCGACACCACCATAAGGAGCGGCACAGAATTAGGGAGAGAGACGAAAAGCCTTCCAGAGAACATAACAAGTGAGATCTTTTTTCATGCTATGTGCATATGCATGCTATGTACGTACATGTACATCCTACTATCCTACTAATATTGTAAATGTGAAAGTTTGTGAGAATGTGAATCGATTCATGTTTGTTATTCTTTCACGCAAAAACGGCTGAACCGATTTGGTTAAAGTTTTGTATGTAGGTGATACCCCTGGGTTAACACACAGGCGACTTTTTGTCAACATACAGCTAGTAAATTATATAAGTATTCATGACTTACCTAGTAGATAATTATATCTAAAGAACATGAAGTTTATTTCTATCTAAAATTAGTTTTGATTAACTGTACATATATTTATTTTTCAGATCGAGCAGTTCACCTAAAGCAGCGTCCCCACCACCAGTAGGCGTAGATCAAACAATGCTGCTCGAGACGTTTGCAAAGTTTTGTGCGCAAATGAACGATAAAAACAATACCAGCTATAGTAGCCAACCAGTGGTTAGTATTATTTTTAACGGCTTACACACGTAACTGGTTGACGAAGAACTCGACTGCACGGTGGCGCAACGTTTTGCGGTTTTGATACCCGCACGGAACAACTCTGTCTTATCTACAAATTGTTGTTCCGGGTCTACCCAGATGAAGTGTATGTGAAATTGGATGTTTGTAAACGCGTCCATAATGCAGGAGAGAATGAAAGTTTGGTGCAACGTTTTGTTTAAAAAAACTGTACTTATTACTTAGTTACGCACTTTGCGCCGCCAACTAAGGTTGAACGTCGCTCGCGCAAAGCTACTGATGGGTAAGAGCGTGCCTTAAAACTAGCTAAGTTTCTCGTCAAACAGTTAAACTAGTATGCTGTTCAACATAATTAATTTAATATACTACTATACAACATGCTTAAAATGTGTAATTTCCACAGCCCCGAACTTTAAGTCACAAGTCCTTACAGTGTGAAGTTACTGATAGGCGAGATCCGTATGATGTAGAACGTCAACCGGCATTAAATCATGCGAAGTCCAGGGAACTGGTGGCCACGTCCAGAATACGAAGCCAGGAGAACTTTTCCTGCAGAGTTCGGAGCCACGACAAGATCCCGGCTATGTGTGATGAGCGTGGGAAGCAAGAAAAATGCTCATGTTACTATGAAAAGGATAGTCCTAAATACTCTAGCAAATTGGACATTAGCAGATCAAGGATGCGGCCCACGGAAGACGAAAGATACCGGGATTATCCTCCAGTTGCCGTGGCCACTAGAAGCTGTTTAGATCCGTACAGGGGCCGGTCGCCAGACGGGCGAGAAGAGAGATATAGAGATTACGAGAGAGACCTTCGAGGACGACGTTACGATGATGACAAGAAGAGATATTTCGAACAGAAGACGAGCAGAAGCTTCGACGTAAATAGGGAAGGGTACGATGAAGAACGGAATTGTCGCAGGACAGCACGCAGCGACTCGGTCAAGGACAGGAGATATGAAGACAGAGACAAGAGATATGAAGAAATGGGCAAATATTACGACGATAAGGGGCTAGAGACGCGGGATCGCCAAAACGTTTTGAGTAAAGACCAACGCTTAAGGAGGAACGTGGAGAGATTTGAGAGGAACTCTGTCGCATCCAGGGAGGATGCTTATAGGGAGAGGGATAGAGATAGAGAGAGGGAAAGGGAAAGGGACAGGTATTCTGAGAGGGAGAGGGATTCCGGGCTGAGTGTGGCTGACGGCGAGACAAGCACTATGAGCGGGCGGAGCAACTGTCTAAAGGTTGTGAAGGTAAGTTTATTATAACATTTATTTGATAGGAGTTCTGCGACTAAAATAGTTTAAGAACCGCTGTTCTAGCAATTTTTTAGGGTATAATATTTAAAGCGGTAACGATGTCGTAATAATAGCTAATTCGTAAACTATCCTTTTTAAAATTTAAGCACATGTTTTGTAAATACAAGTATTGAACTGACTACTTTCATCTTTCATACTTCTATATTAATATTATAAAGAGGTAAAATTTGTAAGTTTGTATGTAGGGGGTAATCTTTGGAATCGCAAAATTCTTTAACTGATAGATAGCTAAATTGTTCCTGTGTGCTATAGGCTATAAAACATCACGGTACGATCAAATGGAGCCAAGCAGCGGGTGAAACCGCGATAGAGTAGCTAGTGATCAATATAAATGTAATTGAAATTTTAGGACACTTTATTTATTACATTTTTCCTTAACGAAACGACCATTATATTAAAAGTCTACGTATGTTATATTTGCAGCAAGAGATAGCGGAACAACGTGAAGCCATGGACAAAATGATGAAGCTTTGGAAGGAGCTCATGCGTTGCTTCAAGGGGATCTCACAGACACAAGGACAGGACAAAAATATGCGAGTGAGTTTCGCATATTTCCACTGTTATCATCATTATATCAGCTTATAGTTGTCAGCTACCGAGCAAAGAAATCTTTTTAAAATGGATAAAGATTGAGAATAAATCACCACGCTTGCTCAAGGCGAATTGGCTATATCAAACTTGCAGCTAAGTCCTTGACCCCATCGTGATGATTTTTTTCTTCATTTCTCGGTGGTGTCTAATCTTGAAAATATAATTATATAACTTAGTAAAAGTCACATAGATTTGGACCCTCATCCTCATGCATGAGAAGCGGCGTCATAACCTCCGGGCCGCCACGATATTTTTATAGTGTGTGAAAAAAGTTGCGAGGAAATTGTTGGGAATTAATTTCTCCTATTTTAAAAAGAATAAAGGAAAAGTTTGGATTTGGATTTTTTCAGAAATAAGCTCAATAAGTAATTTTTTTGTAGGATTCAGCGGCCAACGTGAAGGAGTCTGCGGCGGCGCAGTTACAGTTGTGGCGCGAGTGCATGCGCCGGTACGAGACTGTCGCCAGGGACGTCGGGGATACTGACGCTAGGCTTATGGTACGAATTGCTTGAATTTTATTAAAATGAAATTGATTTTTATATCTCTCGATAGAATGTTACGATAATTATGGAACCAACTAACTCCTAAGATAAGTTGAAAAAAATATGATTCAGCCCAATCCAAAACCAGAGTCCGAAGCCTGTTATAGGGAAAATTTGCGAAGTCCGCTATACTCGATCTCTGGCTCTGGGTGGATGGAGTATCAGACTCTTTTTGTTAGGAGAAAATCATAAATTTACATAAATCGCCCAGGGTAAGGCGAGAAAGTGTCAGACTCTTATTGACTAAAAACTACCCTGTTCCTTTTTCTGCTGCGTCATTGACTGAGGCAATAATGGCCTGGATACGCTGTCAAAAAAAATCATTTATTTCAATTAGACCACAGTAGGCACTTCTGAACGTCAAGCAAGCAAAAAAGGAAAAAAAGTATATAACGAGAGCTTTAAAATTAAGCGTGTCAGTCTGTCCGTCTGTCCTCTAGTGAAGCTATTTGCTCGTTCCAAAGTGTAGATTCCTATGGAGAAGAACGAGCAAGAAACTCCATGGTTACTCTTTTTCAATCAGTTTTACAATACATTTCTTTGTTACATCATTTAGTCGGTTCTGATATGTGAGAACAATGTAACACTAATGTTCAGGCAAAAAGTACGAAAAAGAAGTGAACCTCAAGGACAACATAATTAGACAGCCTGGAGCTGACCAGTCCCCAATAGGCGGCGCCCGTTCACGAACATGACACGTACACCAGCACCGCCCAACTCAACCATATTATAGGGAATTGGGCGATCCAGTGCCCGTGCCACCGCCAATGAGACCTCTGAGTGAGCATGACAGCTCCCAGCCGGCAGAAGTACCTATATTCTACAAGTCTTACTTAATTATAATAGGTTACAGGGCACTCACATTTACAAAAACTTAGAAGATCATCAACAATTAACAACATAGTGTACAAATTAATAATTAAAATCAAAAATTCCTCTAAACATCCTGTGGAGTAGGACCAGCTAGCCTCCAAGCATTTTTATCTTGTATATAATCATTTACTTTGTAGTATGCTAGTTTACATAAATGTTTCTTAATACATAATTTGAATTTGCTTTCATTTAGATTTTGAATTTCAACTGGGATTTTATTATAACATTTAACACAGAAACCCAGGAATGACTTATGCACTTTTGCCAATCTAAATAAAGGCTGACTCAATCTATTCCTATGTCTAGTATGATAATCATGTTTGTCAGATACCTTTACAAATAAGTGTAGGTTTTTCCTAACATACATAATGTTTTCATAAATAAATTGACTCGGTACGGTCAGAATGTTGATCTCCTTAAACTTTTCTCTGAGAGATTCGCGACGACCTAAGTTATATATAGCTCTGACGGCACGCTTTTGCAAGATAAAGATAGACTCAACGTCAGATGCCTGTCCCCACAACAGAATTCCATACGACATGATGCTATGAAAGTAGCTAAAGTACACTAGTCTTACCGTGCCTACATCGGTTAGCTGACGGATCTTCCAGACAGCATAAGCTGCAGAGCTCAATCGTCCTGCTAGAGACCTGATGTGGGGCCCCCATTGCAACTTCTCATCTACAGTGATCCCCAGGAAAGTAGTCTCTTTTACAAATTCTAGTTTCTGATCATTTAATAATATATCATCACATACGTTACTTTTAACATTTGGTAAAATAAATCTAATGCATTTAGTCTTTTTATCATTTAGTAATAAGTTGTTTATTGTAAACCAATTTTGAACCTTCATTAAGGCATTATTAACTTTGTCATATTTGTTTGTTCGTCTATTTATTTTAAAAATCAATGAAGTGTCATCAGCGAATAATACCATATGCGGTTCATTTTGGAACATATGGGGCAGGTCATTTACATAAACTAAAAATAGAAAAGGACCTAATATTGAGCCCTGCGGTACGCCCATAGATACGCTAGCACCCAGTAAGTTAACTTTGTTGACTTGTACTTTAATTTTTCTTTCTTGAAGGTATGATTTCAATAAATCTAGGGATACCCCCCGAATGCCGTAGTGTTCTAGCTTCAGTAACAGCGTCTCGTGCTCAACACAGTCGAATGCCTTTGAAAGGTCACAAAATATTCCGATGGCATCCTGTGCTTTTTCCCACGAGTTGAAAACTTGTTTTATAAGTGATACTCCTGCGTCCGTAGTGCAACGTCCTTTGGTGAACCCGTATTGATGGTCATGGAAAATACAATTCGTGTTAAAGTGACGCAGCATTTGAGTAAGCATCAACCTTTCGAACACTTTACTGAGCACTGGCAAAATAGAGACCGGCCTATAGTTATTAGGTTCTGTACTATCACCTGATTTAAATAATGGAACTACTTTACTATGTTTCATTAAATCCGGGAAAACCCCTTGATCTACACTTTTATTAAAAATGAAAGTTAAGTTCGGCGCAATTGTCTCTATAAACGACCTGCACACTCGAACAGACATTCCCCAAAGATCTTCAGTTGACTTCACTTTGATCTCATTGAACGCCCTTATTACTGCCTGGGGGGTTGTGTATTGAAAGCTAAAGTCAGAAGGACATTCTTTGACGTTACCCCTGAGAAGCTCGACCTTTCGAATTCCTGGGCAACTTACGAATTTGAACTAGTATATCCCTTTTCGGTTTTTAAATTAAATTCAGTGTTTTGTGATTTATTTCTACCTGTTTCTTTATTAATTATATTCCAGGTAGCTTTTATTTTGTTATCCGCGGTCCTGATTTTATTACTAATGTGGAGCGACTTAGCATGCTTACATACTATTTTAAATATTTTTGAATATTTGGAAACATGTCTGCGAAAAGCCTCGCTACTATTAAATGGTTTCAGGCCGTATAGCTCAAATAACCTGTCTCTACTTATACGAATACCTGGTGTAGCCCAGTCACAGAATACAAATTTACACTGAATATTTTTACGTTTTAAAGGAAATAGTTTATCGAATTGTATTTTTATAAGGGATAATAAATTGGCATATATCTCACTCGGGCAATTATTGTCTTGTACTTGGCTGCATAATTTATGTTTTAGCTTATTATTTAATGAATCAATTTTTTTGTATGTGATTTGTCTAAACAATATTTCCTTTTTTGGCACAGTTGTTATAGTATTAAAGTTAACTGTGAGCCCACTGTGATCAGATGGTAATCTATTTACAATTTGACTTTGTAAATAATCACAGTTACAGAAAATATTATCTATACAAGTTGCCGAGGTGGATGTTACTCGGGTGGGCTCAAGGAAAACATTAGACAAATCAAATGATTGAAATAGACTTAACAAGTTTGTACAATGAGAATTGTTTTCTAAGAGATCAACATTAAAATCGCCACATACTATTGTACATTTACTACTAGTACATCTTCCATTACAGAGCGAAAAATATTTAGATTCTGTATGTTAGGAGGCCTATAAACACATACTACAATATGCCTATCCAGCTCAACACAGGACAACTCTATTGTGTGTTCAATTGACAGCAGAGCAATGTCTTGTCTTTCTTTATATTTTATTGAGTTCTTTACTAAAATCATACTACCACCATGTATCATTGCTTGGCGGCTATAATTGCTGCCAACACAATAGTTATTGAAGTTAATTGTTTCTACTTGATAATCTTTTAACCAATGTTCAGTTAAACAAATAATATCATATTGGAATTTCTCTAAAAACAATTCAATTTCTAGGAATTTTGATGATAAGCCCTGAATATTTGACTGTATAATGACAACAAGTTATCTAATTTAGTTTTATGTTTTAATTTAAATTGATGATTAATAATATTGCCAGAAGAAACCTTTTCAATGAATGTGGTTTTTGAGTAATTTAATTGGTTATCTTCTGTTGTCGTGGAAGTCAGTTTAAAAGAATACTATCCGGAGTACTATCCACATTTGTCAATAAATCTGGAGCCTCCTTCGTACTATTGTATGTACAATTAATCTCTATATTGTTAGATTGTCTAATCAATATAGATTTGTCACTAAAACTACTTATTAATAAATTAATACTATTTGCTAGCAAACTAGCAATTAATAATTTACATTTCCTGGGAATATACATATAATCCCGGGTCAACTTAAAACCACTAACAAATTTGTTAGTGTCAAAAAATGATAATTTGTCACTATGACAAGAGGTCAAAAAAAATATTAAATTGTTCAGATGATGAATTCTACTATTTTCACTTTGTGACAAAGTGTCAGCATATGGGAATGCACATAACATTATATTCCCTGTGTTTAGTCTTAATAAGGTGTTGATACCATCAGTTATATCCCGCTTGTTTACTCCTGTACTATCACCCATGAAAATCACTATTGGCTGATTTTGTGTGATAGTATTGTATTGTAACACTTCCAGGAGGAGATCAAAAAGCAGCGCTCGGAGATGGCGGAGATGGCAAACATGTGGCAGGAGTGCCTGCAGCGGTACCGCGACATGAGCAATGACTTCAATAGCCTCAAACAACAGGTTATTCTATTTTATGTCCATCGTTTACGAACCTACTCACGATTTTATTAGAATTGAATTAATACCAGCATGAAATAATAATAGCGTTGGGTTTCGCCGTGTGAGTGAGGTTACTGGAACCCCTACCCTTTCCCTCCTCAATCCCTAAATATCTGAAATCCCTAAAAAGCCGGCCACGCAGTCGTAAGACCTCTGGTTTTGCAGGTAATTTGTATGCTCGTTTGCCGACCTATGTTACATAAAAAAATGCACCAGATTGTTTTGATATAAAAGTGTAAATTAAAAAAAAGTGAGCGCTCTCATGTTTTACACATCTGGTGCAGGTGGTAAAACCTCCTGCGTCATTAAAGACGACATACTTGCCCACTGACTAGTAAGACTGGCAACTATAGTTTGATTATCCTGATTGTGACCAAGTAACTTGTTATTTACTGACATGGTATTTACATGTTATCTACTCTACATGTAGAGTGGACTGGTTTTGCGCGAGGTACCTTATAATTCTACGCGAACGAGCCTGTTTTAGCGGAGTGATGACTTCAAAAATAATGCCTGCGTTGTGAATACATAAATTTTGAACATTTTTTATAGCATACATGTGGTAGTATTTATAATATCATGCGGTCGCCCGCCCGCGGCTCCAGTAGCGGATGTCGATTTTACATTTTTTCAAGTTTTTTTTAAAATGTTCTGTACGTACAAACCTTCTGTGGTCTTCCACAAATAATTCAAGACCAAAATTAACCAAATCGGTAAAGGCAGCTAAAGACATTACAACGAAAAGTGGCATTGATTTTATATGTAGATTATAAGAAGCTCTTTACTAATGACTACAGTTAGTGACCTCGGAGAGTCCGACCCGGTTGCCCGCTGCGCCGCTGGTGTGTGCCGAGGGCGAGGGCACGGTCCCTGCACCGCCCTACCGGTTACCGCCTCATTATCCACCGGTAAGAAAACCGATTGCCCTAAACTACGCGTTATTTGAAAAGACACTCTTTCCAATGAATCTAAAAATGGGACATTGAGATAGCAATAACCTTTCACAATTCAACTTTTATAGTTGTGTAGTAGTAGTAGTAGTAGTAGCCCAGAATTCTCGTGTGTTCTTGTCGATATGATACATAGCTTTTCCAGAACTGGCTTCATGTTTTGAAATATTTTGTTCTGGTGTTTACCAGACTGTTGTGGAATAAAGAACGTTTATGCTGTTTGTATGTAGAACGTAGTGCCGCCCCCCGGGTACCCGCCAGGTGGGTCTCCGCTTCGGGGCCGGTCGTCCGCCCCGCAGGCGCCGCCCGCCTGGTGGTGGTGCGCGGAGGCCCCCACGCGGTCCCCGCGGCGACGCTCATCGCCCGAATCACGCACCAGCCGTGAGCGGGAACGTAGACATCGACATAAGGACAGAGGTAAGACACGGATTTCTTAAGGATGGCCGCTTCAAAAGTATTATTTTCGTTTCGATGTTTTATCAACTTTGTTTTATAAAACTATCATATTATCTAGCTAAATGAAATGGTTTATTTTAAAACGGGGCTTTTTTCTGCGGTGGATATCATCAAATGACTTCTCCCGCCTAGTGTAAGGCGAGAGAGAGTGGCAGACTCTTACTGATAAAAAAAACCCGCCCTCGTTCCTTCTCCTGCTCTGGGCCGAGGCCACGGTAATTCATTGCGCTTAACCAGCAGCCCCGGCTGAACTATAGAACCCCGTCTGTGGTGATTTATTGGCTCTTTGAGGCGCGAGCGGAACGCTACGCGCCGTGCGCTCGCGTCTGGTTCTGATCGGGCGGCGAGCTACCTTTACTCGCCGTCCGCAGACCCGCGCTTACGGTGGCAGGAGATCATCTCTCGATCCCGACGCCCGAGATGTCGCCTACTGCGGCGGCTGGGGAGCGTGGAGGATACTCGTAGTTCCCTCACGCGCTCTGCCTCCTCCTTTGCGAGCATCACTGCTTCGCAGAAAGAGGAGACGGCTTCCCAGTTCCTCTCGCTACGAACCATGGCCTTGACTAAGGTGCGAGAGGTCGCTGCCGCCGATTACTTCCCCGAGGACACGGCGGTGCTCAGCCCAAGCAGGGCACACCGCCACCGTATGCTACACCGTGTCCTCTAAGAAACAGGGTCTTAAACTATGGTTTTCGCCTGTGTTGCGGCGTGGTACATTTACAAACACTTCCATAAAATTCAATACCTATAAGCACACAAATAATTTTGAAAAAACGCGTACCCCTAAACGTGCAATAAAACAACGAATATGAATCATTTTGTACAACTACTCATTAATCGGACAGTCTACATTGTGTTAAATGTTTTCTTTCTCATTATAGACGAATCCAGATATAAGGAGAAAAATGCAAAACCATCTGCTGCACGTTCGGAGCACAGACATAGAAAGAGATAACATGTTCCAGTACAAAATTCCAGTAACGACAACGCTGCCACATGTTCTCACGACGCACACGAAAAATTTATTAAAGTTTTCAACTAAGAAAAAATGTATAATTGAAAGCAAAATTGGTGCGAAAATTCGCTTAATTAAATTACATTGTTTTTTGATTTTTTAATAATGTGTCACGTATCAAGTGGTTTTTGACTGTTGTTGCAAGTAACACAATTAAATGGACGAAAAGGCTTTTCGTGTTTTATTTTCTATCAACTTGTAACTACCTAGTAGTTAGAATTCTTATTCGGGTTTACCAGAATAGTCAAAAAATAGGAATAGGTAAAGAAAAATAAATGAATACTTAGCTTAGAATTTTTAAGCCGTGTTCATCGCCAAAGGCTGGCTGATTGAGCCAGGAGTCTGATTCTACCACACTGTGGCGTTCAAAAGGTTAAAAAAAACTATAAAATTGGCTTGGAATGTAACTTTATTCGTTTTTTTTTCAATTGACACACAAACACCTTTACAAATTACATAAATAAATAATAGTTTTTGGTATAATCCACACTACACTACAATGGCAGTCTTATTTTAAGGAATTTAAAATGGACTAGACTTGATATTCCTTCGAATTACAACCCTTACGAAGGAATTTTTATCTTATGGAATACCATGGAAAAGTACTTTCCAGTCATTATTCTCTCGTCGAAATAATCAGAGACAGCCAAAAATATAGAAGTTTGCGCCCCTTCTTCCGGTGTTAGAAACAGCAACTTCAACAGGAATCGAATTAACTTCGGCTGATTCCGAAATATTTCTGTGTCTACTGCTCCAGGGTGCAAACAGTTCACGATTACATTATTACGTCTTACCTCCTCCGCTAACTTCCTTGTAAACAGCACGTTAGCCAGTTTCGTATTTGCATAGACTCTCCTACGTCCAAAAAATGTTTTTGCTTGTTTATCTAATTCATCTACTGTCCCAAACTTATGCATTAATGATGATACGTTAATAATGCGAGCTTTGGGTCTTGATTCTTTCATTGCTGGTAACAGCAACATAGTCAGTAAAAATGGTCCGAAATGATTGACCTGCGCCTCAATTGGCAAGTTGTCTTCAGTAAGAGAATTATATAGGACACCAGTACCAGCATTGTTAATTAAAATATCAACTCTTCTTTCCGTTTCAATTATACCTTTGGCAAATTCGGTAATTGACTTGAATGATGCCAAGTCCAAATACTTAGCTATAACCTTGTTTCCCGAAAATAATTGTATTTCCGTTGCTGCTTTTTGAGCTTTATTCATATCTCGACATGCGAGGATTACTTTGGCGCCTCGTCGCGACAGTTCCTTAGCGGTCTCGTAGCCAATGCCGGTGTTTGCACCGGTCACGATTACTAATTTATTAGGTATTGTTACATCCGAGATAAACTTTTTGTGTGTTATTTTCTGATAAATCTTGTATGTAACCAAGAATAAAATTGTAAAATAAATTGTTGTCAAAAACATTTTACCTACTGGATACTTTTTAGGTTATGTGTCCTGTATTAGGTACATCCGTTGTTTTCAGAGACAAATTCAAAATTCAAATTGGCCAAATAGCCTTGAGATAATTAGGTATTTATGATATAATTACCAGATCTGTATAGCTGATACAAACAAAAATATATTCACAAAAACAACGTCGGACTCCGTATCTATAGACGCGCGTTGTCAAAGTCATCATCGTCAAACGGTGCAAGGTAATAGATAATAGAGAACACGAACAACGTAATCGTCAGGTCATGTCATTAATATGAAGTGCAATGTCAAAATATAGTAATGTAGTATTTGTAAGTTTGTTTGTAAAAAAAGTATTTTAACAGTATCTGATGTTAGATACACTCAATTTTAATAACATTTATATGAACTAGTAAAATCGACTAAATTGGCTAGTGTAGCCACGAAAAAAATACTTTTCTGTAATGTAAGAGTAACCAGTCAAAAAAAGTATATTACTTATTTTCGAACATTAAAATATTTAGAAATAATCTTGGTTTTATTTATTTGATGATATAAGTATACGCAGTTTTCGTATATTGAGAAATAGTTGTATGACTCGTCTACTATTTGACTCGTAAAAAGTTTTTGTAGGTACTTACCTATACAATGCCACATAAATTTCATAACGAACGAGCAAATAGCTTCACTAGAGGACAGACGGATAGACTGACACATATTTTAAAGTTAAACCGATAATGATATCTTTTTTGCTTGACGTTCAAAAGTGCCTGTTGTGGTCTACTTGAAATAAAGAATTTGATTTGATTTGAACGCATGTTCTATCCAAACCAAATTTAGTACCGTACTTAGATGGTTTGTTTGATACCTAATTTGTCTAAATAGTAATAAATATTGACAGTGCAAAGCTGGGGCTGCCATTTTTGTCTCCCTAGAACTTTAGCGGTGAGTACCTAAATAGGAAATCACAAAGTAAAGCATAGTTCTTTAGTATAAACACTTTATCTGAAGTTAACTTACATTATAGGTACCTATTATAGAAGATTGAAATTCTATCTACCTAATATATATATAAAAGAAAGTCGTGTTAATTACTCCACTTATAACTCAAGAACCAATTTAGCTGAAAATTGGCAGGAAGGTAGTTTGGAGCCAGGAAAAGGACATTTACGTAAGGATAGATTAGGTAGAATAGGGTAGGTAGAGTAGGGTAGGTAGAGTACGGTAGGTAGATGAGGGTAGGTAGAGTAGGGTAGGTAGTCAAATAACGGGAGCGACGCCGCGGGTAAGAGCTAGTTTTAATTATAAAATCCATACAAAAATTAAAGTCTTGAGTTTTATTCAATTAAAATTAAACAATGTTAATTAAAAGTCACTTCGTTGAAAGGATTTTTTGTAGACTAAGCGACGCGCGACGGTATAATGGGTACTGCAGCAGGGAGGAAGGATTAGACCCACATATAAAATTCCAAATTTATCTTGACAATTACCTATATTCAGATTTAAGCTTTCCAATGCTTTAAGTAGACTTGTGGATGTGGTTGTTTGACTACTTTAAAGAAACTTGTGTAAGTATTTGCTGAATGAAACGTTTTTTGTCAGGGAAAATCATTAGATGACTTCTTCCGCCCAGAATGAGGAGTATGGAAGTGTCAGGCTCTTATTGACTAAAAGGCCCCCTGTTCCTTCTCCTGCTCTAGGCCGAGGCCGCTTAATTGCGCTTACCCTGTAACTTCGGTGATTGAAAGGTAAGGTTTGACCTTAGCTCCAATGGCGAACATCGAATTTCAAGACAATTGAATAGGGTTCGCGGTTGGTCGTTTGGGATACTAGTACAACACAGAATGTGGGTTTTGGTATTAAGGTTAATAGAGAGCTGCTTCAAATGTCAATCTTCCAAGTGTAATTAGTTTAAAACTTATTTTATATTTACTTAGGTACTAGTTCTCGCCCGCGTGGTATGTTGATAAAAACAGCATGTCTTAATTCAGGGTATACCTATCGACATACAAGATTTAAACGAAATCGGTCCAGTAGTTTTTGAGTGATAAAATAACAAATATAGATTCTCTCAGACTTTCACATTTATTATAATATTAGAAGGATAGAAGGTGTAGTAGGAAAGGATATACAATTTTAATGTATTTAAAAACGAGAGCTAAGTTTCTAAATTTGCTTGAAATTGCCTGTGGTGCTCAAGCAAACGTACCTACCTAAGTAATCCGGTCTGCACTAACATACTTGTCGATAAGGCAAATGATTTAATTTCTTGCATTATAGTAGGTTCGTGGATAATTATTTTATTACAGATTTAAAAATTTACTCAGTCCTACATTAGACCTGGAGTGGTGGTAGGTGGTGGTGATGGTAGTAGGTATCATGTTCGCTATAACATCCCGTTGGAATATCATGAATCATCATTTCTGTGTGATACTATTCCTAGTCAAATTGGGTATAGGTACTGTAAGGTAAATAAAACAAAGAAAGTGTTTTGCGAATCTTTTTTTTTATATAGAACGAGTTATTAAATGGACATTACAAATATTTGTTTTACCTACGCATAAAACTACCAATGCTTTATAACAAAACTTTGTCGTTTTAATTAAAAAATGACAAAATTATTATTTTTATTTATAGAAAACGGCACGAACTGTTATTTGACGTGTTGTTTATGACATTTAATAATTAAATAAATAATTAGACTGACAACACAGCACATCAAATACAGGTCAAGTCTATTTTTTTGGCTTCAACACTGACAGGTTCTATGAAAAGAATTATAAGTATATTACGTATTCATTGTATATTTGTAAATATAATATATATTCAGGTTCAGTCTCCACTCGAACAATGCTTCAGTCATTCGTTTGCCCAAAACCGTTCGGGCAAGAAGACTTTTCAGGACGAAAAATTGACTTTTTAACCTATTAACGACTAATGATTAGAAAAGTAATTAAATTAAGTCTTATAATTAATTATGAGACGTTTCAAAACACATCGATTAGCTGGCGTTGTAAGAAAATAGGCGTAAATGCAATTTTGTAGGTAGTTTTTTTGTCAATGTAAAATGACAAAGTTATTGTTATACCTTATTTGTGGTATAATTTACTTGGTGTTTTCTTACAACGTCAGCATAGTGAAGTAAACATGTAATTTAATGCACAAACACATATCCTTATTTGGCTACATAACTCTATATGTATAAATATGTGCATATGAATAATACGAAATTGAAAAAAGTTTACTAAATTGACTTGCGAAATCTTTTGTCTGCTGAAGTTGGAGAGATATTATTTTAATAATGTTAAAGGGAAGTTATTAGTCATGGCACTCCCCCATAACTATTCATAGAATTAGTTAATCATACGTCAACCTAGGCAATATCTTCTATCCATCTGAATATTGCCACACGTATGTATATGGTTATAGCCCTTTCTTCTATGACACTATTAATATTTAAGACATTCTCCAAAACATACATACATGCAATACAAGTAGATATGTAACTAAAAACTTTAATATAGTAGACACGTTAATGTCAGAAATATTGTCGATAGACATTTAGGTAAGTTCTTAGAAATATCAAACTTTTTAAAGAGATACGTGCAAAGTTTCAAACGAGGGTCTTCACGTGACGAGTACCGTAGTTTCAGGTCACAAGCGAAAATTCTATCGGTAAACTAGACCAATAGAATGATGACAATCAGAACTTTAAGCCTCACTAGCGCCAAACCTCGCACTTAAAATCGAAAACCCTCCTGAGTCAATAAAAACTCTTTTTTCGGGCACAAAACTAGCTTTCAATATCCAACAGTTTTCTTTTTACCACACTGAAAAAAAAATTACATGTTACATTAATATATGTCGTAAACAACAGTGAATCTCTACGTAGGCAATTACAAAATTAAAATTATGTCCATATAAAGCTAATGCGAAAAGTGAATTGTAGGTACACCAATTCACTCTACGGGAGGCACAATATAGTGAGATTTTAATATTGTTTTTTACTTTAGTAGGTAGTAGGTATACAACATATACCAAATATTTTTTTCAAAAAGTCCACGTAATAATATAAAATGCTATACAGTACTTCATTAATTATGAATTTATTTTAGGTACATCTCTTGCTATAATTCAAAAGAAATCAACGAATAGAGAAATTAAAAAAAAACTATATTTCGTTTTGGAAATTAAGTTTTCAACGTTAAAAATTATATAGGGAAATATGAGCAATAAGTGTTAAAAATATGTTTAAAAACTTTCTATTGATAAATTAAATTTATTAAATCATCATTTGAAAGATCTTTGCAGTATGTTAGGACTAATTAATCAATTTTAAGGTGGTCTTTGTGTATTTAGTATTCGTCAAGTCAAATGTTTCGTAGTCGTAAAAAAACTGCTGAGCAATTCTTTTGAGCTTATGAATTGGCACAGACTTACTGTTTTTGTTATTGGACTCTTAATTAATAACAATGAAAGTTGCTGATCAGGTATATATAGGTATTAATTACAAAACACAATAATTCGTTCGTTGACTTGGCAATACCTACCGCATCGTCTTCAAAATGATGATTCAAATAATTTCAACACAATTCGTTTTTAGCATTTACTTACAAACAAAATGATAAAGTACTGACACATTGTTAACGTAGGTACATAAGTCACCATTTAAAGACACTTTATTACTTATGTACATTTACAGTCTAGGAATTCGTCTATTTAAGACACGATTGTAGACAATGAGGGCTACCTTCGTTTTTGTTCAATAGATGGCGTTAATAGGCGCTAGGCGTCCAATTTGTCTAATCGTAACTGCAAACGTTCATTGTAATAAATTGCAAATAAGCTCTTATATATAAAGATAAAAAAAAACTGCAACTGTCAAAAAAGGTTTCTTCTTATTTTTGATTATGGCTCTCTCGTTATTTATCCAAGATTTTGCCAATATCAAGGTAGGAAATGACACTGTGATCGGTGTTAAAAATGAGGTATAAAAGTTTGTCAGTAATTGACACTAGAATAATATATATTAATAACTATTGAACAACCGGACCTCATTTTACATTAGCGCCATCTGTTGAACAAAAGCGATACTACATATTAGAATTTAAGTATTCCAAGGAGGTTAGTTTTCATGATTGTCACTCGAATGATTGAGGAACTAGGGAATAAGTCTTTTGTCGACTTGCACAAATATAGGATGAGTTGTGGGCATCATGCACCAGTACATGTTAACATTAAACGCAGTCAAAGTTAACTTATAGGAAAGGGGTAGTTTGTAGCTTACTGAAACATTATTAATAATAAAAATAGACATAAGCAGCGACGTTTAAGTTACCTAGTTTTTCTTGGCGAGTCCTCTTCGAGTATTTATTAATGATGTAATTTGTGTTTTTCATTATACTCCAACGTTAATTATTTTTAAGACTCCGTAGGTACATCGAAAGGGCAATACTGATTAGTATGTTGTCATTACAAGTGCATGTGAAAGTAGGATTATTACTTTTTAGAGAAACAAAATCAAACTTCTACTTCAACGCAATCAAAACAAAACCCTAAGAATTTACTTCGTAGTAAATCGAGTAAGGATTTAAAAAATGGTTTCAGTTAGCCACAGACTATAAAGTATAGAGTTCGCCTTTTATATTCATCATTGTCATTTTATCAATAATTGTCTTAACATACACAGTATAGGATGAAAGGAACGATAGTTTCACGACACAAGAACGAGTAAATATTTTTTTAATATAACCTAAAAATAAAATTTTGGGTAACTCGCAAATTTTCTTGAATTCGGTTTTACATTCTTATTTACACAACAAAACTTATGATTTACACTTAAATAGTAAATAATTAATAAATATAGTCTATTTAGATCCTGTTTACACTGAAATCACTAAGATTTATCACTAGCGTCCTTTTTAGCGTTTGGCGCGCATCAATAAACCTGTAAAGAAATAAAAATGTATATTAGCATTGTGATAGTCAAGGTCTTAAATAATTAAATCTTATTTAAAATTATTTTTGAATAAATACTAGAAAGTTGGCTCTAATTATCTACACGACAATTCAGAATTCAGTTTAACATTTCAGGTATTAACACAATAAAACTTGGCGTCGCCAATGCACACCCCCAACACCAGAGGTCTTACGAGTGCATTGTCGTTGTCGGACTTTTGGGGATAAGGAGACTTAGGGATTGGGGGAAAAAGGATTGGGTCTTCGGTGACGTCACTTCACTGTGGTTATTTGACGCCTATGTTCTGTGAGGCCATGGTATCATGTTTAGTTTTTAAGTAGATTTTGTAATCAAGAATTTTAGAATTTCTTTATTTTATTAAATTAAATATCAGTAGCAGTCTCAAACGCTAACAGATATGAATGAATCATTGAAGCCCAACTGGTTTTCACTCATCTATTTCCAGAATATGACGACACACAATATTGTTTCTTAGCTTTATTTAGTACCTATGCACAGTTTTGGTGAGTTCGTTCACCTCTAAACAAATTATGGTGGGTTGAACATACTATTTGCATTAAATAAATAACGTGTACCGTTTTTCGCAAAGCGCTGTAGAATTTTGATGTAGCTGATGTTATCAGTTAGCTAGAGGAATGGACAGGTTAAAGATGTAGTATAACTAATATTTTTTTAGTTAGATTAGAAAAAAAACAATGCTGTTGTTATTACTATATCTATTTAGAATACAATGTTTTGACTTCGTCTGATGGAGTTTTAGCAACTCAGTTTTTTTTTAATTCAGTACATAATCGAGAAGCGATTGCCCCCGAGTATTGTGTAGGGCGCTTGCAATACTATTTTAATAATTAAACACTATCAAAATCACTAGTTTTTAGTCTGTACCAAATGTTCTTAATACTTATCTTAGTTATTTAAACCATTGTTATTGTTCTCAAGTAAACGATTTTATGTAATGCTTTTATTTTTTTTAAATCCTTTCATTTAACATTCAACGAATTTTTATGATCGACCAACATGTTAGCCAAGGGCTCTACTTACCTATTGATATTACGAGTATTATCTACATCATAATCATTGCAGTAAATAATGCAGAATATATACAAAAGCATTAATTAAAATGTGCTGGTATCTCCTTCCAGCATTATGAGTCGAAAGGCAAAAAAGACTGCACATTCACAGCTACTGTTGCGGGATCTGACTCAAGGTAACCTTTAAGTATGTATGTATGTGTAATATGACAATGAATGTGGTCGCGGCCAAGCTAATACCTGCACGACATTTTATAACAGAAAGCATACGCTCAAGGTTCCCGGGATTAGCAAGCTGACTACTAGAAAATTCGACCATCATTCAAAATTCGACCATCATTAAGCGAGTATTTTTAAATTTTTTTTATGTCATCGTTCGGCAAACGAGCAGACGAATTATCTGATGGTAAGTAGGTAATCAATCGGCGTCGCTTATGGACACCTGATACACCAGAGGAGTTACGAGTGCGTTGCCGTCCTTCTGGGATTGGGATTCCAGAGGTTTATAGGTGAGGATTTTCTGTAAAAGGCCGTGCATTTTTACGGTCGAACCGACCTGTTCGTATAGAGTACCTACGTATAGATTTTTACAGCGACTCGCTTTAGCGGAGCAAAAAGAAACCCTGTCTATATGTTTGGAATCTAGCCACATTATATTAAAATCAGTTCAGTAATTATTGTGTTATAGAGGAACAATTATACATTTAGTCTTAGTAACATTTGCATCTTAGTTTTAGTAGGATTTTACCATCACGATTCTTTCACCTATACTATTATTACGAATGTAACTGTCAGTCTGTCTCGTTGTCACGCTTTCACGGCCAAACTGTTGATTGAGATGTTTTCATATCTATGTAGACAGTCTCAATAGAAATATTCAATGTTTTCTCGTAAAATTTGTAATATTCTATATAGATAATAGGCATACGAAGACTTAGATGAGTTCTGATTTGTTTCTTGTACAAAGAAAATATTAATACTTATTTGATCTTATTAATTTCATCAAAATTATCTAACAATTGTTTAGTAATATTCCGAGTTAGACCCACAGTGTTTAGAAAAGCGTAGATTAGTATATTTACTATTTTCTTCAGCTACAGGTACATTTTTAATCTATCTTTTAACAGATAGCAATTTTATTTATTGATTTCATTTCACCAACCGCGCTAATTCACGTGTTTGACAAGAGAAAAATGATGCGTCAAAAAAATGGTAGAATGGTGATTTGACTGCTGTCCTATCGTCGATACGTAGGTACTCATAGTTTTATTCTCCGCTAAAAAGGAAGAATAAACACGACAGAATTATGTATGTAAGTATGTAGACCTACAACTAAAAATCTGTTCTACCTACTGTATATAATTTTTGCCTATTGTTGTTCTATTACTATGACAAAGCCAACTTCAAAAACTTGTTAGTTTATTTGACATGATTTAATTTATTCATAATCATCATCATCATCATCATCGGCCTATAAGTAAGTGCCTACTGTTGCTTCTCATACGCAGAAGGTGTAAGCATCATCTAATCCCCATCGCCGCTATGTACCTAAGTACATTGAACTATCCAACATTTAGCCTTACCTACTTGCTGTTTTATTATAATTAAGCTTTCATTTAATTTTATTCTTATATCGACGGTATATGAACTACAATTATTTAATATAAAAATAGTTTTCTCACCTTAACGCCATACGCCATTTCGTAGCCGCCCTTGCTTTGCATTTGGTTCTGCATGGTGTGCAGCAGTGATGATGGGATGTCCACATCTGTAGAACCTGGAAACATGTGAAAAAATGCCTAAGTAAAGTTCTCTTTACATTTTTATTGATGAGTAGGTGGCGCTAGTGTTGTTAATGGTCTTGTTCATTTAATCTGTTTTGTGGAAACATCGTTACTGTCAAAAGATTCACCAGCGGTTTGGCAACAGTGTGGGTACCTAAATTAGACATGTTTACAACATAGGCAAAGTTCTCTCATTACATCTTAAGAGTAGAATAACTACAAAACATGATTGAGAAAAGACCCAAGTATTGTAACATTAACAGTCATAAACCTACCACATTTTTTAATATAATTTACTCACAGGACCGGCGAATAAAAGTGCCCCTTATCCAAAATATTATGCGAAATAGACGCTTTTATCAAAAACATTTATCATCGTATAATATCAGAGTAAGGTAAGGGCAATAAATTGTCTAGTCACGAAAACTGCCAAGTATCTGCTTTAGTACCTACTCAAATGCAAAACGTAATAAGTGCTCGGTAACACGCAACAAAAGTTATGTCAGGCTTATTACTAATTAGTGGCCGAAGGTCGAATATTGGTCGCTACGGATTTGTATTAATGTCCACTTACGTTAGTGTTAAGTACGTACAACAAATTGTTATGTAGGTAATGCCATAGGCTGAGTGTAATAGTCTAGAAAGTACTTTTTCATTTTCCGTCTGAAATACTTCGTCACATAACGTTAAGCTGTCACTCGACGTGACAGTCGGACAGAAGTAAGACACATGTGTTTGTGTATCAAAAGTTCTCTTCTAGCCTCAGAATACAGAACAAACCAGAAGGCGTCATCGCGCTTCAAACAGAAGCAACTAAAACCATTCTCAACTAGAATAGTATGAAATTTCTACGATTAGTCAATTTTGGCACGTGGCATGTCGTGACGTATTTACGAGTATCAATTTTAATTTCATTATGCCGTCTTGTGTTATTACTACGAGTAAAAATGCGACTGGAATTACGAAAAAAGTGGATAAGATTACATTTCATCTGCAAGCATCGACTGCAATAGTATATTTAATTAATTATTGATTTTTTTTTATCGATTTATTTTTCTATGAAAATGATGCGGCCATTTTGTGAGTGTTGTCATTCTTGGTGAAAATTTTACCCACTTATTTATTTGTTGTGGGTTATATTTTTGTCCATTATGGAGCAAATGTCATATTAGTTTCCCTGACAAAAAAAAATACAAAAAGGGCACGGTTAGATTAATTTTGGAAACCATCTAGCCAGAGCATAGTTTGCTCAATTCACTTTGAAGAGATATATTTATGACAAAGGTGGTTTGAAAACAGCATATCCTACTAAGATATATCTATACTAATTATAATGCTGAAGAGTTTGTTTGTTCGGTAGAATGCGCTTATCTCAGAAACTAAGTAAAGTAAGTAGACTTCTAATCTTTAGTTCCGAGTCTAAAGACATATTAAAAAAACTAAACTAGCAAAAGGGAACGCAATAAAACCTTTGTTTTATTTGTTGTATTTATTGAAGCGTTTGTTTTATTTAATGAAGCTTTATTTTATTTATGGTGTAACTAAAATTAACACAGCCAGAAATCGTCAACTTTTATGATACCTCTATGAAATGTGTGAACAACTAGTCTGTTGCATTTATCGTAAGTTTACCTATTTTGTTGGGTTTACTCGTATCTTACCCTCCTGTTGTAAAATTACCCCAAACCAAGGGAATTGTTCCACTGTCGGCAACACTACGCGGGTGGGAAGTGCGGCTGGCGGGGGGATTGACGTATTGTTTTTGGACACATTTGACGACATGTAATTATGAGTGAACGCGGATTCTGGTTTGTTCTGTATTCTGAGCTTCTAGCATTAAATCAAGACGCTTGCTCAAGGCAGAATGGTGATTTTAAACTTATTATTAGTAATCTAAATCTAGGTTTCTTCACAATGTTTTCCTTCATCGTCTGTCAGTGATGTCTTAATAGTTTCAGAAAGTACATATAACTCGGCAAATCACATAGGTACTTGCTAGGTTTCAGACCCTTCCTGGCTTCAACTGAGGACCCGGAGCAGGAGACGGAATAGACTGGTTTTTAGTCAGAAAGAGTGTCACTCGCTCTCGCCCCATCTACACTGGGAGAAGTTGTTTGAAGACTAACTCTTAAACTTCAAAAAATAAAATAAGTGAACGCCGGCGTTCGCGCACCCATGGTTCTTCTATTGTGTTTCGAATTATTACGATTGAAAGTTTAAACTTCAAGTTTATTGATCAGAATTATCTACATGCGTCAAGATCACATTTCACACACCAATCCTCATGTAGTTTCAGAGAATCGATTCATGACACCCTGACTATTTCTATCTTCATCGGCTAACCTTTATCTAACAACTTAGATAACAATTTAAGTAGGTACCTACAATTTAGTAGGTACTTGTTAAATCACGGCCCATAGCGTGAGAGACCGCGATTGCTGTCAAAATATAGATAAACATCAATATGAGTCACAAAGACGTCCTTGATGCGATAATGGTGATAGTATGATGATTGACGACTGACCAGGGCAGGAGGGGAGGCACGAGACTTTTAGGGACCCAAGTAAAAATTGCTTGGGCCCCAAGTAGATACAGATAATTTATCCTACTAATATTATAAATGGAAAAGTTCTGAGAATGAATGAATGTATGTTTGTTACTCTCTCACGCAAAAATAGATGGACCTTTTTGGTTAAAATTTGGCATGTAGGTAGTTTATAACCTGGCACATTTAAGGCTGCTCTGTATAATCATGACATAAAATAGTGCAATTAAAATGCAAATGTAAATGCAATATAAAGGCAGGCAAATGTATAATATAAATAAAAGATATATCTCTATATTATTCTCGTTCTCCACCTCTTTATAAATTTGAAATTTGAAGTAATTACGACTACGGATTTTTTTAAATCTCCGTAATATATTTCCTGAGACACAGTCACGATAAGATCAGCGATGAAGTCAGATACAAAAGAGAACGAAAATGATTCTTAGATTAAAGTAAAGACAACGCGCTACTCTGCAACCTTATAGCCAGCCTTGATTTCATACTTTTAGTATAATCACATGCGATTCTAAAGATAATATGAAAATAAGTGTCTCTCGAAATAATACCGTCCCCTTGAGGCGGATGAGTCAAAAGTTAAGGTCAAACCACTCGACCTTAGGAAAATATACAATAATAATTGTTAATGTGAAAAAAATCGTGTACTGTACACGAGTTTTTACATACGAGTAAGTGTCATGCTATTTTACAGTTGTTATGTCATGCATGACGTGTAGGTGCTGAAGATTCTTTTTTTAAACTTCAAGAATATCCACTGTAGTGATAGAGTATTCGGTTTGATCCCCACCGCATCTTTTTCGCCATCGTACACATACACGCGAAAACGTTTTCATCCCCATAAAATAGATGGTTGACAGTCAACAACTGCGACTTACGCAAAACTTTCTGCCCGGAACAGCAAAACTTTGCAATGATCTTTCTGCAATGGTATTTCTGAATTGATGCGACCTTAAACGTGCCTGTAACGTGAATTTCTTGATTCTGATTTTAGTTCTGAGATTGTGACAAAGAAATGCTTACATTGAAAGGTTTTTTTATTTATTTCAAATATGATTTTTTTTATAAAAATTTAAGTATCAATAAATTTCCAGCGTGCTATATCAGTATTGACACCTGAAGTTTTTTGAATTTGCCGCCTTTTTCATGGAACTAGACTCGCTTGACAGACATACCATTAGGTAATCAGTCGGTTCGTACCTACTTGCGTCCTATTCCATAAAAAAATCCCCTGCATGTCCCGTGTCATTGTTTCAAACTTCATATCCCAAAACTTCATCATCATCAGCCTATAAGTGCCCAGCGCTGAGCAAAGCAAAGGCCTCTTCTCACACGGAGAAGGTTCGAGCAAGGTTGAGCATTGATCACCAGGCTTGCTTAAGGCAGATTGTCAATTTCAAACTTATAATTAGAAATCCAAAGTCCAAGTTTGTCATATGTCAAAACTTCCAAAAGCAAGATTTAAAACATTTAGCCAACGACGCAATATTATGATATCATTTTGATAAGTCTTTTGAATTTAAAACGTCCCATTGTTAGACAGTAGATATGTACCGGAAATGAGAGATGTCTTCTGTGTTCATTTGTAATACAATCGCAATTCTTTATCTCAATAAGGAAAATATCAGAAGATTTTCCTTATCCTAGTAAGATGTCATACATGACTGTCGGTAGCAGATGTCTCGTATTTACATACGATGAACACGATGATGTTATATGATCCGAAGTATTGTCTGTACTTATTGTATCGATCGTTATTTTTATAGTATACTATACATACACATACATTGCAATTTTCACTTCTACTGTTCTTAATACACACAACAACAAAAGAATTCAGTCCAGCCGTTGTTGAGTTACGCGCTTACCAAAAGCAATTTTGTAATTTTCTTGTACCATATAAAAAATTCTAGTTGTGGAAAAATTCTAGGTTTATTAAATATTCTTGTATTCTTTATATAATTATATACTTACCTAATAAATTTAAAATTGGAAATCGTAAATTGGATTTATTCTTTATTATTACAATTTCTTTTTAAGCTTTAGGTATTCTACCAGGAAGTAGCTTTTAAACATGATCATTAAGATAAAGTCAAAAAAACGATTTTCGGCTTAATAACGCACGCACGACAAGAACAGACGGAAGATGGTTTCAGAAATAAATTGGTATTTCTTGAGGGTACCGTCAAGGTGAGGCGGATGTCCGCGAATTGAGAATAATTATAATATATTGTAAGCGTTTAGTTTGCAAAATCAGTCGTCACTCACGACCTAACCTTAAATTTATTTATGAACGCATCTTGTCTGTGGCCGCGTTTTCTTTTTTTATTTTTGAATTCAGAAGTGTAGGTAGCCATGTTGTTCGGCCAAGGTCCGCCTTTGTTCAGTTATGAAACTAATGACGTTATTGTGAGTTGTAACTTGTAAGAT